AATTTCATATATAAATAAAAATAAATAAATAAATAAAAAATAAAGAAAAATCACTCCAGTTTTATGTAAGTTTAGTTACTACTATGCTACAGTGGCTCAAAGATTGTCACATCTGTGATATCCTATTGTATTTAGATGCTCCCTGGAAACTGTATGTCTGAAGGAAACAGAGACAGAGGAGACAAGACAGAGACAAAATCATGCCATCAGTGAAAATTATAAAACATACATTCTCAATAGAGGTGAAAACCGGCTTTCAGGAGGAGAAAATCCCATTTTTATATAAAAAGTGCAGATAAGCATATACAGTAGATAAACACATACACAGCATACCTGTGGTATTAAAGTTTCATGGGGAGTGGTGTCAGAAAAAAATGTTTAAATAGACTACTTGGGTGGAGTGACAATATGAAAAAAAGGTTGAGAAACACTGCTCTAAGACATGAAATCTGAGACCAGCCCCTCTGAATGAAGGAGGAAGGATGGGGTGTTGGCAGATGCAGTGGGCCTACAGGCACCACTGTTAGTATGTCAACAGATGGCCCTGTCTTCCTCTAGCTCCTTTCTCTCATTCACCCATGCTGCACTTTTTACCCCAATGGAACCACCTGCATTTCTCCAAGGTGGCATTCTATTTCTTGATGCTGAGCCTTTGCATATACTGTTCCTTTGGCCTGGGATTCTCTTCTCCCTCTTTCTTACCTGCTATCTTATCCTTCAACATACAACTCAAGCATCACCTCGTCCAGGAAGGTTTCCAGATATGTGCAAAACAACAACAAAACTGACTATACAAACTATAGAAAGCAGGATAAACTGACAACAGGGATGTTGTGCCATTGAAGAATGCTGACTCTGGACAAAAACCTGAATGCAGTAAGAGAGAGTGCCATATGACTATTTGTAGTAAAAGTGTTCTGGGTAGAAACAAATACCCTGAAGTGAAAGCAGGTCGTCAGACTCACGGAAGGTCTCTGTATCTGAAACCAACAACAGAGAAGGGAAGTCACAGGAAATTAGGCGGGAGACGTGATGGGGAGTCATATCATATGGGGCATTGTAGTGTTAGGGCTTTGAATTTTCTACCAAGTATTATGGAAAATTACTAGATCATTAATAGCAGGGTGTACCATGAGTTGACTGATGGATTTAAGGCCTCTCCGTAGGCTGTTGTGTGGATAATTAATGGTCGAGGTACAAAGAGCAAAGGCAAGGAGTCCAGGTAGAAGGCTAGCAGGAGAGTGTAGGGGAAATGGAAGTTGCTTGGACTAGTGTGTTAGCGACTAAGTAGGTGAGAAATGGCCCAGAGTCCTGTGCCCCTTCCATTTTCCTAGACACGTGGAAAACTCCTCCCCACACTGCAAACCTCACGCCAAGCACCCAAACATCTGGAAACCTTCCCCAGCCACCCCAGGTTCATGGGAGTCTCCCTTGTCAGGACTCTCACAGCTCTTTGTATATTCTTCTAATTCTACACTTCCTTTATTTCTTTGTAATACTTACTTATATATCCGTCTTTTGTACCTCACTGCAAACTCTAATGGTTAATTTTATGTGTCAACATGAGTGGGCCATAGAGTATCCAGATATTGGGTTAAACATGATTCCTGGGTATGTCCATGAGGGTGTTTCTGGATGAGATCAACATTTGAATCTGTAGACAAAGTAAAGCAGATCACCCTCCCCAGGGAAGGTGGGCCTAATCCAATTCATTGAAGGCCTGAGTAGAATAAAGGGCTGAATAAGAAAGAATCCCTTCTCTCTACCTGACTGACTCCAAGCTGGGCCTTTGGTCTTCTTACCTTTTGCCTCAGCTTCAGATCGGAACTTACGCCATTGTATCTCCTGGGTCTCCAGCTTGCTGATGACTGTAGGTCTTAAATTTCTCGGCTTCCTTCTCAGATTTTTTTTTATAGTAAATCTCTCTATATCTAGAGTAAATCTCTTTCTATCTATACCAGTTTCTTACAGTAAATCTGAATCTATATTTATATCTAGGTACTCTAGTGAGTCACCACTTAGAGGAGTTTTACTCCTTAACAGATTTCATTGGCATAGTTTTGGTGCGAGTATCCAGTTTTTAAAAAAAATGTGCTCAGACAGGAAGGCCAAGTCTATGTGGCGGTGGCAAAGTTATACTGTGGTTTCATGTTAGTCACCTTATAATTACTGCCACTGTAATTAGTGCCACTTAATGTATGCTACCGAAACTAAAGATATTTATCCCAGACTGGAAAAAGTGTCTTAGCTTTTAAAAAATGTCTGATGGAAAAAAAAAAAAAGAATCTTTACCTCCATATGCTATTGGTTCCGTTTCTCTGGAGAGCCCAAACTAATACAAGCTCCTTGAGGGCAGATTATTTAATCATCTTGTGCTATAGACTAAATATTTGTATCTCTCTCCCTCCCTCCAGTTCATATGTTAAATCCTAATCCCTAATGTGATAGTATTTGGAGGTAAGACCTCTGGGAGGTGATTAGGTCATTATCATGGAAGCCTCATAAATGGGATAAGTGACCTTTTATTTTATTTTTTTTAATTTTTTTAATGTTTATTTATTTCTGAGACAGAGAGAGACAGAGCACGAGTGGGGGAGAGGCAGAGAGAGAGGGAGACACAGAATCTGAAGCAGGCTCCAGGTTCTGAGCTGTCAGCACAGAGCCCGACGCGGAGCTCAAACTCACAAGCCATGAGATCATGACCTGAGCCGAAGTCAGTTACTCAATCGACTGAGCCCCCAGGCACCCCTATAAGTGACCTTTTAAAGGGACCTCATAGAATTCCTCACTCCTCTGCTGTGTGAGGACACAGTGCCTATGAATCAGGAAGCAGTTTCTCACCAGACATCGAATCTGCTGGCACTGTGATCTTAAGAGTTCTCAGCCTCCAGAACTGTGAGAAATAAATTTCTGTTGTTTATAATCCACTCAGTTGATGGTCTTTTGTTATAGCAGTCCAAATGGACTAAGATATCTTCACATCTGAAAGGCCTAAGTAGCCAACATCAACAAACTTTCACATTGTGCCTAAGCATTTTACAAGTGTTATTTCATTTGATACAACAAGATGATGAGGTAGGTGTTATTATTACCCCATTTTCAAATATGGAAACTAAGGCACTGACAGTTTAAGGGACTTGTCCAAACCCATAGCACTGGCTACAGAACTAGCTAGAAAGTGGTTGCAGTAGTCCTCAAACCCATCTCTCTAAACACAGAGATTTCACTTTTAGCCATTTTGCAACTCTGCCATAATAAATGTTTTGTTCTTGAACCTTGGAGAGAACCCAAATTGGTTTGAGATTAAAATGAGATGGAATGAAATGATCAGTAATTATGTAAACATCTTGTTCAGTCTCTAGTGACATCTCAGCACTTCTATGCTATAGTTTATCTGATAAAAGAAGTATTGGTTTGGGCCAAACTTCTCTGAGACTGAGGATCACAGGAATGCACTTCTGGGTCTACCAGGGGCATGGCAGTTGAGTTTGTCAGCCTCAATGGGCCTTCATGATCCTTTGGGGCATATATGCTGTTGATCATTTTTATCTAAAATTGTCCTACCATCATCTATCGCTGAAATGGCTGCAGACCTATTGTTAGTTTAATGATAAAAAAAAAAAAAAAAAACATTCTGGCATGTTTTCCTAGTTATGGTAATAAATCTGTACTCTTCTATTCATACAGGTACCCTTTGAAATGATCAGTTGTGCTTTTAATAACTGACTAAATATGATCAATGCACAAAGCACAATGAGCTATTGGACACTGTCACCTCAAAGCATTTTTAGAACAAAGCCAAGTATAAATGAATACACAAACAAGTAACTAACTAAACCCACAACTTTAGCTTAACAATCACAATGTGCTTAGTTTAGCAAACACCAATGTGAAAACATCTTCCTGAGAGACACACATGGGAAGAACCTGATGATTTGCTAAACAGGTAGCCTCATGTAGTTAAAATTATTTAGCAGAATTTCCACCTTCACTCTTTTCTCCTGCAAAAGACATGGTGTTTTTTGTCTTCATCCCTTTGTTCTTTTCCTTTGCTGACACTGGGTGTTGAGCTGCTATAGAAAACTAGAGGCTTCCGCTGTGTTACATGGACAGCCTTGCTCTCATCACCTCCTACCTCCCACCCGCTCCTCATCTGTGATTGCAGAAAGCCTACTGTCTTTATGTAAATCTAATGGCGCCTTAGTGAATTATTCCCAAGTACCATGACAAACATTAAGAATACAAAATATTAGCAGAGAGGCTGTGACTTTTAGACTGTGGTTTTTCTCAGAATCAGTGGGCTTGTTTTTCCAGTCTTTGTTGTCCTTTCAGCACACACCAAAGAAGTCTCTGGCCCTAAAGAGAATGCTGTGTTTACAGATCAGAGGTAGAGAGGTTCACAGAGTTCTTCTGAAAATGAAGGAAAGCTCCCTTTCCAAGGCTGTTGCACCACAGATGTTTATAGTGTTCCTTGACAAGTGGAATCTTGTGGGATCTCATAACCTGTAACTTTTTTCTAATGGTCAGGGTATTTTTTGGCCAGGGACACACAAAAGGCAGCATAGGGGGGACAGAAGAAGGTACAGAATCTGAGCTGGAGATGTACCTACTCATGGAGGGCTGGCCCTGGCCAATGTTGGGAAGTTAGCAAAAGAATGGGCCCTCAGCTCTATTAGCCTCTCCTAAAAGATGCCCTCCCTCATCCTCACCATTTGAGACATGTCTCCTTCCCATTCCTCAGGTTTTCTCCAGCCTCCCTACAAAAGCCTCTTTATGGAGTCAATAGAAAATGTGACAATGTGAAATACTAGAAACAGTACCCAATATATCCTCAGCTAAGTCCTGGTCCCAACATCACCATATACTACTGGTTTGATTTAGGGCAAATGGTTCAACTCTGATCCCCTGTTTCTTCATCTATGAAATGGGGATCTCTTCCCATTTCACCTCACAAACCTATTTTTAGGATCAAGTAAGAAAAGACATGTAGGCATGCTCTATAAAATCTAAGTACTGTGCAAATATAAGACACAATCGATTTCTACTTGATTATCTTGCACACGGTGCTCGGTGGATACTCTGAGTGATTGCTAAATGAATACACTGTCTCATTTGACAAATGTTATCATTCTGAGAGATATTTGCAATTCCACAGGGGTAAATCTGGCATAATTGGGAAGGGAAACTTAACCACTAAAGTCATTCGTTTTCAATCAAATTGAATAATCAAGTTGAATAATTAAATTGCATTGTTAAAATCACTTATTAGGTACCATGGGGCTGGTACACTGTTAGTAACCTCAAACTGTAGACCAATCTGGTCATCCTAACCGGGATGATGCTGTAGCCACTTATGGTTCCATTATCAAATTGTTTCAACCCTATATAAGTTCCATTATATATCAGAGAAGCTGGGAAGTAAAACAAAACAACAAATGACATTTCTAACATTGCCTTGAAACCATGAGAAGCATGTAACTTATCTGCCAATCAGTTGAACCCACAGTGAGGTTTGGACACAGAGCTAAAGTAATGCACAGGGGTACCTGGGTGGCTCAGTCAGTTGAGCATCCGGCTCTTGATTTTGGCTGAGGTCATGATCTCATGATTATGGGATTGAACCCCACAGCTGGCTCCGTGCTGACAACGTAGAGCCTGCTTGGGATTCTCTCTCTCTCTCATTCTGCCTCTCTCTGCCTCTCCTGCTCTCTCTCTCAAAAATAAATAAATATTAAAAAAAACTAAAAAATAAAGTAATGCGCATGTGCCTTGTGGCAAGCACAGTAGTGAAGGCATCTGGTGTTGCAGGGTCAACACTATGGTAGAATTCCATCATCCAACATCTCGATTTGCTTGACTGAGAAATCACTGCCTTTGACAGAGTCTACTTAGAAATGACTAAATTATTTCTTCTTCTATCAGGGATGATGGGGAATAAGAGTCAGATATTACAGCCATTAAGGACAAGCAAATATGTATATTTATATATATTTATATATATATGTCCTACAAGTGTCCTACAAATATATATATATATATATACACATACACACATATATATATGTATACATATATATGTATATATATGTATATGTATATACATACATATATGTATATATATGTATATATATGTGTATATATATGTATATATACATATATATATGTGTGTGTATGTGTATATATATATATAACCCCTGCATTATTCCAGGGGTTAGGGGCATATAACTTTTGACTTGCCCAAAACTTTACTTAATAGCCCACTGTTCACCAGAAGCCTTACAGATAACATACAGTCAATTAACACATATTTTTGTATATTATATGTATTATACACTGTATTTTGACAGCAAAATAAGCTAAAGAAAAGAAAATGTTATTAAGAAAATCATAAGAAAGAAAATGCATTTACTGGACTGTGTTTTTGGAAAAAATGTGCATAAATGGACCCATGTGGGGGTCAAGGCTATGCTGTTCAAGGGTCAACTGTATTTTTGTAAAACAAAGCTTGTGACAATGAAAAATCCTACTTGCTATGTCATCTGTCTTGAAAATGGCTCCATATCAATACATGCAGATTGATCACAATTTTTTACCTTGCTTTTAAGATATACTGTTTTTTTTTTTCCTACTTAGGTACCTCCATATATCATTGAAAACTTGGAAAGAAGTGTTTTTAGTAGCTGCATAAGATTTCATTGTATGTGTACACCACGATTTATAGATCCACGGATTCATTTTTACACATTTCTGTAACACATTTTTGCTATGCTAAAAACTCCATGCTAAAAATTCTTTTGACATTTTGAATTATTTCCTACAAAATATCCATAATCAAGTTTTATGTTAATACTCTTGGTCATTTCCATATTCTATAAACTTAAATTTAAAAAAAGAAAAGCATTCCAAAGAATATTCCTTACACTAACAGTCCTCATTTTTAAGAGACACTGGAAATGAAGTATTCCTCTTTTATAGCATCCTACAATATGGAAATTATATTATTGTTTTTATTTATATTTATTGAGAAAACATTTTGTTTGCCTTTTGTTGGACTCTGCTATAGATGAGTTGAGAGAAAAGAGAAAACCAATACATTTTCTCCACGCCTGCTGCCAGGAGTCAGGAGTCCTCTCCCTATGGGCCTCCTAGGTTCATGGAGTCTGAGCTTAAGCTCCTGCTTCTGAGGCTGCCTCTTTCCCACCCCACCCTCCCTCCATAACCCAACCTATCCTCACCCTCACACTCCTGCCCCTTGGGAGCCTGGCCCCACAGGAACATACCATACCTGGAAGGCCAATGATGTCACAGGCCAGGGTGCCAAGTCATTGTGTGAACTTCTGGAGAAACTCTATACCGACAAAGTCATCGAAATGGACAATCTGACCATCAAGCTGGTTATCAAGGTCCTTCTGGAAGTTTGGTCAGGTGGCAAAAACACTGGACTGGCTGTCATGAGGTAAGATCATCTCCTCAAGATTTAAAATCCCTGAGACATGGAGAATCCATTCTTGAAACTGAAACTGAAAATAAAGAAAATGAAAAGAGGAAACAAAAGAAAGCATCATGGTGAATAAAATCCTGCTTGTAGCAATTTTAGAATTCACATCATAGATGATTCTCAAAATGACTGCCAGCATTTCCATTCCATTTACCCATACTGTCCAAGTGTCCTACAATAAACTTCCATGTTTTTTAACTTAAAAAAAAAATTAGAATTAGAGACTGGAGGGTGGGAGCATTCTGCAGGGGAGAGAGGACAAAATAGGGAGAATGAGGAGACAGGAGAGAAAATAATGATAGGAGGGTAAATGGGGAGGAGAAAGGACAAAAGGGGAGGAGTTAAGCAACATTTAGTACCCAGGTGTCCTCCCCAGACTTCTTTAAATAACCGTTTTTGTTTGATAATTTCGAGGAGTTTTGAAAACAACAACAACAACAACAACAACAACTTTTGGAGTTTCTTGACTGTTTATTTGGTTGATTGGCTTCATTTTGTTGTTTGGGTTTGTTTGTTTTTTTAATTTTAAGGGTTATTCTCTTATTTCCTTTTGTTGCAAAGACTACAAGCTTTCTATGGAGAACAGACTATAGTTTTTCTTTCAGATAAAGCATGTCTACTCCTCTTCATCTTCTTTTGTTTCCCTGTGGCAGGTGCAGGGATCACAGCGCTGGTGGTATTGATGTCAAGGCAGAATCCACTCGTTAGGCAAGCGTCTGACTGGACAGAGAAGCATTCTGGCACACAGCTCCACCCCACCATAGTGCAGAGGCTACCTAGCTCCCAGGGAAGATTTCAAACGTAGAGTATTATTGGAAGGCCCTTCTGTCTTCTACCTTCCTACTTGGAGCCTTCCTCTGACTCTATCTTCTGTCAAAGTTTCCATATTGATGGCAAATAAATCTACAACTTCTGTCCTGACCTCTGTCCTTGGCTTCAGTCACTCTCCCCTGCTATCTAGATGTTATGCATCTATAAAGTCATGGGACTCTTCTAAGTCTTTGTGTACCTGAGACCAACGGACATAAAACTAGGCAAATTATATCTGTTCTTCATAAATCAAACGTCTTTCTTGACTCCATCTTCGCAGTAGCAGCTGTGGTGGTGGCAGTTTGGTCGCGGACATGCAGCTCTCTGTCCATGCCCAGGAGCTACACACCCTTCAAGTGACCAGCCAGGACATGGTCGCCCAGATCTAGGCCCATGTAGCCTTGCTGGAGGGCATCGCTCCAGAAGATCAAGTTGTACTCCCAGCAGGCACAGTGCTAGAGGATGAGGCTACCCTAAGTCAGTGTGGAGAGGAGGCTCTGAGCACCCTGGAAGTAGCTAGGTGTATGCTTGGAGGTAAAGTCCATGGTTCACTGGCCCCTCCTGGGAAAGTAAGAGGGCAGACTCCCAAGGTGGTGAAACAGGAGAAAAAGAAGACAGACAGGCGGAGCCAAGTGGCAGATGCAGTACAACTGCTGCTTTGTCAGTGTTGTGCCCACTTTTGTAAGAAGAAGGGCCTCAATGCCAACTCTTAAGTCCGTTGTAATCCTGGCTTTCCCCAATAAAGCCACTTAGTCGGGTCAAAACAAAAACAAAAACCCCTCAAATTTAGCCTATCAAATTTGACCATTTTCCCCCAAACCTGCACTTCTTTCCAAATTTTCCCATTTTTCATAAATGCCAGCAGAAGCCTGGAGCCACCTGAGAATCCAAGTCATCATTGTTCCTTTCTTTTCATTTTCTGTATTCAGTTTGGAAGCAAGTATTTTTGATTCTTCATTTTTTTTTTTTTTTTTTGTCTCTTTTGCATCTCCCTTTATGCTCCCTACCACCATCCTGGTTTGGATTTTTTACTACTTTGCATCGGTACTATTATGATAGTCTCTTGGTTTACTTCCCCAGCCCACATTAAGCCTCCCTTAATCCATCTTGTATATTGTTGCCAGATTCCTTTTCTGAAGAGACTGTAAAACAGGAGTCTGAGAGTGAGAGCCTATCCAAATTCATATTTGTCTGAGTTTGCCTGGTAGTTGCATAAGGAACTCAAGATTTTAAAAGGGTATGGTCACCAGAAAAGTAGGGAAATTCTCCACAGTTGTGGTAGGCAGCTTCTAACATGGCCCCAATGATCTTTCCTCTGTGGTATTCATGCTCTTGTGTAATTCTCTCCCCTTGAATGTGGGCTAGACCAGCTGACTTGCTTCTAACAAATAGAATGTTACTAAAATGGTAAAACAATGAGATGGCACTTCAGAGATTTATTTACAAAAAAACTGTGACTCATCTTGCTGGCTCTCACTCACTCTCTCCCTCAGGTGCTCTGAGAGAAGCCAGCTGTCATGCTGTGAAGTGCCCTATGACAGGCAAATGTGACAAGGAACTAGTGTCTTGGCAAGAGATTGGAGTCCTGCCAATAACTACGTGAGTGAGCCTGGAAATGGATCCTCCCCCAGTTGAGTCTTGAGATGAGACCACAGCCCTTGCTGACACCTTTATTGCACCTTGATGAGGAACTCTGGACCAAAGGACCCAGCTAAGCCTCAATTTTTAACTGACAGAAACCATGAAATAATAAATGCATACTGTTTTAAGCTGTTAAGTTTTGGGATACTTTATTATGTAGCAATAGATAACTAATACAACAGTTTATGTGTATATAAATCCAGATTGTTTTTTAGCTTCCTCCTCTCCCTCTATAACTTATGGTCGGAACCAAGGGGGTAATAGGCTGTGATAATCATTTTTGGCAAAGCCCTGATAAGAAATAGCTTGCTGCTTCATGGAGCAAATAACAGAGTGTAATATATGATGGGAGTAGCAAAGGAAATGGGAGGAGTTAAGTGTAATGGATATCAGAGGCATAACAAAATCAGGAGACATGACTATGACTTTGGTACTAAGCCACATTATCTACATCAGAAATGACAGGCGATGTCATGGCAACAATGCAGAATACATGCAGCCATTGTTAGAGTCCATCACAGGGAATTGGAGAGAACACCAGCAGAAAAAAAAAAAAAAAATTAGAATTCAGTAATTCTAATCTAAAGGGAGCTGGTACCTAAAGCCAGAAAGCATCTTGTTTCTTTTGTACTGTTAGGTCCCAATTTATCTTCCACGTAGGTGGAAAATGGAAAATATAGACCTAACCTGCTTCCATCATGTCACATCACTACTTCTGTTGCTTGCTTTTGAGCATTCCAACATTTGGCTTCTCCTTCTATTATGGATGTGTTCATGCTCTCATAATGCATTGTATTCACTCTCAGTAGCCTTACCACTGACTATAACCTCCTTTTCTCTCTAAATGTAATGCCCGTTCATTTGCAAAGTTCAAGGGAAATCCTAAATTCTATATATCATGCAAAATGATTTAAACAATTTCTCTGTATCTACCATGAAGTTATGGAACATAAATCAACTAATTGAGTATAATATACCAATTTATTTAGAACATACCCAATATTTGTTAGGCATTCTCAGGGATACACAATATGTGTATTGCATGGCCACTCCTCTTAAAGACTCTCTATCTTATTATAAAGGTACAATCTTCCCCTGTGAAGAAATCAGAGAACATAGACAAGATACATATATTCTTAATCTTTTGAAAACAAGTGAAGTTGCTACTTACAAGTGCTTACCTTTTGAAAGTAAGGGAGAGACTAAAATAGGTTTTTCTGTTTCAAAGTAAATTTCGCTTTTCACCCTTGACATTGAAAATAAATGGGAACTTCCAGGTTCTAGTGATGGCATAGATGGTTGCCTGGAAGTTAGTCCTTACTTAAAGCTGATTAATCAGAGTTATTCCTAGTGAATAACTCAATCCTACTGCTCTCAGCTGTCTGTCACCAAATACAGATGTTTGCATCCCAGAGAAGGTCTTGAGAGAGTAGGGGTAATGTTAGTAAACTAACCTGGCCAACATATAAATTTAACATCATAACTTGTTATGTGATGCCTGCTATACATTAATCCAACCTATTTCCTAGTCCCTCTCTTCACCTAGGCCCATATGAATTAAAATGCAGAAAGTCTATGTTGTTCAAACTTGTTTCATAGCATGATTTCACTCTATCACTGAATACTAATTTCTTTTTAAAAATGTTTTCATGGGGCGCCTGGGTGGCGCAGTCGGTTAAGCGTCCGACTTCAGCCAGGTCACGATCTCACGGTCCGTGAGTTCGAGCCCCGCATCAGGCTCTGGGCTGATGGCTCAGAGCCTGGAGCCTGTTTCGGATTCTGTGTCTCCCTCTCTCTCTGCCCCTCCCCCATTCATGCTCTGTCTCTCTCTGTCCCAAAAAATAAATAAACGTTGAAAAAAAAAATGTTTTCATTATTTATTTTTGAGAGAAACAACATGTGCAAGGGAGAGGCAGAGAAAGTGGAGGACAGATGATCCGAAGTGGGCTCTGTGCTGACAGCAGAGTCCGATGCAGGAATCAAATTCACGAACCATGAGATCATGATCTGAGTCAAAGTCAGATGCTTAACTGACTGAGCCACCCAGGCACCCCTACTTCACTTCTTATAACTTGTCTATCATGCTTGTCCCTGAAGAAGAATATAATTATACTTGGGAATAATTGCAAGTTGTTAATAATTTCATAATAGGATATTTTGAAATATTATCTCACATAATCTTTACTTCTGATAACTGTTATTGTCTAACACTGTACCCAACAAGAATGAAGCCACGATTACTTCAGAGCATAAGCAGAACCAGCCAAGAGCAAAGAAGAAAGTATTCATCCTTGGGTCTCAAAATAAACTGTTAAAAGTTAGGTACAAAAATCATGGAAGCATAGGCTTCCTGTAACAATAGCCTTGCACTGGAGAAAGAAAAGGATTTTCTAAATTCCTAAAGCTTCCTCTTAAAGGTCTAGAATCATAAAGCATAGAGATTTACTATAAGCTAAACGGGAGAAAGGATGTACATTATGATCTTTTTAGAGACAATGTCTAGTTGCACCAGAGAATGAGGAAAGGAG